CATAGTTTTAATATTGCAACATATTGGAAAGACCACACATCCTAACTCTCATTGCTTCAGAGAAGGAGAAAATTAAAAAAAATTTTTTTTAATTTTTTAAAGGGTGGTAACCCTGTGTTACCACCAGCTAGGACCTTTGTGTTCCATGTGTAATAGAACAATTTCAATTCAGATGCTCAAAAATTTTTTAATTTAGCACGGCAATAGGAATGCATCTTTCAACACCCTTCAATTTTCATTTTTTAGGCAACAGTTTGGAATCTTTTACTTGGAAAAATCAGAGTTCTTGAAAAGGAAACTCTGTTGTGCTCTTTCTCAATTTTATTTAATGATAGCATAATTTGGACAGGCAATAGGACATCATGACACCTCTCTTTGGGTCTTAAAAAGTCTTGGTAATATTTATCTCCACAGTCACCTGATTTAGTACCTCTGTCAAGCTACCTAACTAGGGAATTGGTACCACAGGTTTTCTACCAGGTTAGAGAGGACTTATGCTCCAGCATCCGTGTTATAGCAGGATGCTGAGCCACCCTCATGCTCATTCTACCCACCCACTATTCATTGTTACTTAAATCTTCATAAATGTTCAGGGCTTACTAATGAGGTGCTGTGGATAAGACAGAGAAGTTCCTTTATTAAGTGAGCTTCATAAAAATGATCTTCAAAAGCCACTGACGTGGAGGTTGAGCATACATCACAAAAATGATGGGTGGTATTTTATACCAAAAAAAAAAAAGAACTTGTCAGTGTTAGTGGGAATTCAATATTTTCTTACAGAGCGTTTCAGGTCTTCTATATAGACCAGTCACAGAGCTTTGATTTCACCTTTTTATGAGACAATATAATTTGTCTCAGAGAAGCAAGCACTTTGGAGCTGGCAAATCTGGGTTCTATTTTTGCCATCTATTAGCTAGGAGATCTGGGTCTTAATTTAATTTCCATTGAAAATGGGCGTGAAACCTAGTTCCTGATGCTATTGCAAAATTTGAAAGAGAAAAGTTGTGGGGGCCTTCCAGATAGATAGAATTCAATCCATGGTATCCATCATTCAAAAAGACATTGATCAGCGGTCTTTTGTGTGCCAACCCTGAGCTGACAATGATAGATGAAGAAACCCAATACCTTGCTCTGCAAGCACACACAACTTTATAGGAGAAACAGGCATGGAAGTAAATCTTAGTGATTCACAGCCCTGGGTGCTGTTATGGATATGTAGAAAAATGAGATAGCAGCACAGAGCAGTATGTTTTAGCTGTGATTTCCTCCATTGGTTCTTTCTCCAGTAGTTCCCAAAATTCCATCTGACTGGCCTCTCTTCCTGAGGAGGTAAAAGAGCCAAGCAATGGTTACCTGTAATTTCCTAGTGATGGGAACTTTACAGCACATTGTCTATGTAGCCAGTAATGTGGAAAGGATAGAACCTATTTGGTCCGAAGGGGAAGATGTTGGTGTTCTTTAAAATACCAGTTGTAATCACCGTCAGGTAGCTCCAAACACCCATTGCAAGTATCCCTCCTGCAAGTATGGCTTGGACATTACTATTGTATTTGGGAAAAACAAAAATTCACTTGTCTGCACAGGTGTTGACTATATTTATCTTAGTTCACTGTATTTGTGTTAGAATAGAGTAAAAGGATAATTACATTTTGGAAAAGGCTCTATTTGTTCCAAATTTACATGCTAGGAGAAACTGGCTAACCTTGCGTGTGTAATATAAAAGGAGTCAACTTCTCTGAGCACCTCATGGTACCATTCGCATGTACTTTGTCACTAAAACTTCAAAGGGGATATTATTGGAATAGAGTAGAATTATAAAGTAATTAGTTGTAAGGTAATGATAAGTGAGACTACTGAATAATTCTTTGTTTTAATTTTTGGGATGAATTAATAGTGAGAAAGCTATCAGAAATTACAGTTACTTGTTAATCTTGGTTAGTGAACATCATTGATCTTTGCGTAAGTGGTACTATCTAGACTAGTGGAAGATAAATGGTAAAGGAAGGATTAGACATTTTGCACAAAAGATATACAATTAGCCAATAATTGTGTATAGAAAAAAAGGTCATTCTCGCTAATAAAGAAATGCTCATTATGAATCTGAAGCATCATTTATCATCTATTAAATTGTTAGGGTGTTTTCAAAGTTATAATGTCAGTGCTTATAAGACTGTGGGAAAACTGGTACAAATATACATTTTTGAAAGCAATAAAATGGTACAAAGCTTTCGAAAAGTACTTAGTAACATAAATTAAGAACCTAATAAATGTCTCCATTTTGGGAAATGCATCTAAAAGGAATTGTAGAATAAGACAAAATTAATCGATGTCAATGGGTTCATTGCAGCACTGTTTATAATATTATAAATGTCACCTAAATATCCAACTATCAAAGGATGGTTAAGTAATTATATCTTCACAGGAAGTAACATTATATAACACCAAAATAATAATTATGGAGATCCCATTAGAAATACTTACATTGTAATGTTAGGAAAAGCACAGAATATGAAGCTACATATGTTTCTGTATATATATAAAACTATGTGAAATACATATGGACATGTAGAGAGTCAGTAAGATAGAATGGAAAGTACACACACTTGGCAATCAGATAGGCTTCAGTTTCGATTTTGGCTCGGCATTTGAAAGCTGCTGATTTCTGAAAATTATTTTAAGTTCTGTATGTTTTGCTTTTTTATATATGGGAATACTCATATCTACCTTGTAGGACTCCTACAAGAACTACATTAGATAACTCTAAAATGTAAGAGAAGGTAATGGAACTATGGGTGATTTTTTTTAATTTCTCATTTTTATTTCCAGTAATTTTATAATGTATTAATAATAGAAAATATATTTTAATTTGATTTTTATCACTAAAGTTATACACAGAAATATGCACCTTGTGGCACTGATCGTATGACTAACTGAAGTAGTCTAAATACAGTAATTATTCTTATTTGGTACTAAACATCTCAAAGTACATATTCTGCTAAATCATATTGGTTTATTTTTTTATTTTTATTTATTTATTTTTTTATTTTTTGAGACAGAGTCTTGCTGTGTCACCAGGTGCCAGGCTGGAGTGCAGTGGTGCTATCTTGGCTCACTGCAACCTCCACTTCCCAGGTTCAAGCAATTATCCTGCCTCAGCCTCCTGAGTACCTGGGACTACAGGCGCACGCCACCATGCCCAGCTAATTTTTATATTTTTAGTAGAGACGGGGTTTCACCATGTTGGCCAGGATGGCCTCAATCTCTTGACCTCATGATCCACCCACCTGGACCTCCCAAATTGCTGGGATTACAGGTGTGAGCCACCACGCCCAGCCTGGTTTATTTATTTAACAAACACTTACATAGGTTTAACATGTGATAGCCATTGTTCTAAACACTGTATTCATTTAATTCTTATAATAACCCTGTGAGGAAAATGCTGTTACTATCCTAATCTTGTAAGATGAGAAACTGACATACAGAGAGATTTAAGTAATCTATACAAGTTTGCATCAGTATATGTAGTTGAGCCAGGCAGTCTGGCTACATGGTCCAAGTCCTGAATGCTATGATGCTTTTCAACTAGTCAATTAAAAACATGATCAGTGAAGATCTGTGGTGCTTGACGCTGTGAGGGATACCAGGAAATGCAATCTTTAACTTGAAGAGGCACAGTTTTTAAGTTGAATATCCTTCTCTAGGTTTCAGCTGTGATCTCCAAATTCTGTGCCTTCAACTTTAGGCAGACATTATCTACATGTCACAGGAAAGCATCTCTTCTCACCTGTGGTGACCAAGGTTCTGAATGAAAGTCTCTGCAGCCTACATCTTGATTCTCTGTGGCAATGTCAGTGTTTGCCATATATGTGCTGAGAAATCCTAGAGCTTTGCAAAGGTGCCTAATGTTCTGCAAACATTTGACTCAGGTTTCTTTTTATACGTATATGTATATATACACATGTTCCTATATTTTGTGTATATGTAACTAGTATTTCAACCAAAATATTTAACTAATACTATAAAATTAGACATTCAATAAAGTTTGGCTGTTGAATTACAATTATTGTGCTTATCTCAGGTGAAAGATTTTCTTGAAATCTCTTTCTAGTTAAAGAATATTCTAAGATTGCAAGACAAATTCTCACAAATGTGAAAAATGGTTATAAGAATTTAAAATGACTGTAGAATCAAACAGTTTAGATGCCATTTCAAGCACAGGAATTTACCATGTGACTCTGAGCAACTTTCTGATTCTCTCTGTATCTCAATTTCTTCATCTGTTAAATGAGACATACCTCATAAAGTTATGAGAAATAAAAGACATAAAAATATAAAAACACTTAGGAAAGTGACTCAGCCAATTTAAGACCTCAGTAAATGTTAGATATTATCATTTTATTTCTATTACCTATCTGCAAAATCAGTCTTTTCTTATTACATATAAACAAAATATAGAATTACATTAAATTTGAAGACTGATGGGCACCTGAAAGCCCCATTTTTCAAGTTTTGTGTTCATCAAATAGTTCAATTGTTATTGATTAATTTTACAAATAAGTGTTACAAATTTGAACTAATACATACATCTATACTAATTTAATACTACTCTGACTTACAGATTAGGTTATGCGTAAAATTTTGTTAAAAAAAATTCTGCAGCTTAAAAAAATACATTGCATCATAAAGAAATGTATATTTTTATGCTCTACGTTATCTCATTCCAAGAGCAAAAAATTACCTTTTCCAAATACGTGTGTTCATTTTAATATCTACCCATCATTCAGAGCTTACATTTGAATAATATACATTAAAATCAAATTATAAAAAAAATTAACTATTATCTGGTAGAGTGCTATATTTTGGTGGAGGGTTCTACTTATCACCAAAGATTTCATCTCTACTGTATTTCTTTAAAGATTGATTCTTTGCAATAGGACTGATTAAAATGTTCAAAAATATTTTAAATAAATGATCTGTGTTTCTTCTGTCTTTTCTTGCAGTCATTCCCAACATAGCACCGCAACTCGTCAGCCTTCAGTGACTCTCCAACGGGCCATCTCCCTGGAAGGGTAAGATAATAATACAGAACCTCTTAAACTGTGAAGCCTTGGAATTAGTCTTTCTTTCTCTCTCTGTCTCTTTCTCTCTTTCTTTCTTTTTCTCTCTTTCTTTCTTTCTCTTTCTCTCTCTGTCTCTTTTCTTTCTCTCTCTTTCTTTCTTTCCTTCCCTCCCTTCCCACTCTTTGTCTCTCTCTCTCACACATTCACTCAGATATCTAGGAAACTCATGTTATGTGCCAAGCACTGTGCTAGGTACTAGATTTAATAAGTCAGATAAGATTTCTTCTTTCCCTTTTACGGTGTAAGCGTTACACTGTATAGGAGATATGCATAAGGGATTAATGGAGAATCCAGGAGGGATACCTAGCTATAAATGGGCATCTAAAGGGGACTAGGGAAAGGTCAGGTTGGTTCCCAAAAATATGTAACTCTTGAGCTGAGGACTGAAGCATATATGGATATTTGCCCAACAGTACAAATTCACAAGTGTTCTTTCAAGGAAAGAAAAAAACCTAACATTTACATATCTATTTATCTACCAACCAACTGTTGCATGAGTCCATTTTCATGCTGCTGATAAAGATATACCCAAGCCTGGGCAATTTACAAAAGAAAGAGGTTTAATGGACTTACAGTTCTGTGTGACTAGGGAGACCTCACAATTATGGTGGATGACAAAAGGCACTTCTTACATGGCAGCAAAAGAGCGAATGAGAAAACCATCACATCTTCTGAGACTTATTCTCTACCATGAGAACAGTATGGGAAAAACCGTCCCCATGATTCAGTTATCTCCTACCAAGTCTCTCCCACAGCACATGGGAATTATAGGCATACAATTAAAGGTGAGATTTGGGTGGGGACACAGAGCCAAACATATCACCTGTCTTACCCAGTTTTATTTCTAAAGTATTCCTAGAAGATAGGTGTCTTTTTTTCTGAACCTTGATTCTCAGAGAGGTTAAGTAATTTTCCCAAGTGTACTTGTATAGAAAGTAGCATAGCCTGGATTTGAAAGCAAGCCTGACTCCATTGTGTGGCTCTGTCCCCTATAATGTGGTACGAAAAGTCTTTATTGAGGTGGAAAGCGCTGGTTGTACAATTCATAAACCACAATCAGGCCAAATTAGATATCATGTAGAATTTCCTAGTGTGAAAAAAAATGGTGTAGAATTAGAATGACTCTAACCTTAAAAAACATTAAATAGAATCAATAACCTGCTGTATGGGATGGTGCTGGAAGTCCATGTGCATATTAATTGGCTGAGGTGTTGTTTGCAGTAGAGGGAATGGTACGGGGACGAATTTTACCACTATTTCTACCTTACTTCATAATTCCTTTTGAAGACTTCTTTTGGCAGGACTCAGGGTGGCTATCATTTCACATTTTGGCCATCAGCATAAAGAAGACTTCATCCAGCTATGATAAATAATGGCATTTCCTTCTAAGGATATTTCTAAACTTTTGCTTTCTTTCTTTTTATTAGCAAAAGCTTATTAGAAATTTGCCCTAAATATTTTTTTTCAATTTTCCACTTGAGTTAAAGGAACTCTGTGATTGACATAGTCACAATTCTTGTTCTCTGTTGAAGCCAAAAATGTAAAGGCGTTACCCTAACTTTAAAACACCAGAGTGACTCCTTTTATGAAAAACAACAAACTGTATAAGCTTCATAGTGATCTATTGACCCAACTAGCATAAAGTACTTTGCCTTATACCTAGTGAAGAATACAATGTATTCTATTTTCTGTAAGAATGGAAGAAAACTTATTCTAAATTCAAAGAATTTGGTTTGAATCCTGGCCTCTACTATTTGTTGTTGATCAGGGACCTTCACCTCTCTAAGCATGGGTTTCCTCAACAGCTACAAGAAAACATAGTAACAAACTCGCTAATTCTTTTCTTTTTTTTTTTTTTTTTTTTTGAGACGGAGTTTCACTCATGTTACCCAGGCTGGAGTGCAATGGCGCGATCTCAGCTCACGGCAACCTCCGCCTCCTGGGTTCAGGCAATTCTCCTGCCTCAGCCTCCTGAGTAGCTGGGATTACAGGCACGCGCCACCATGCCCAGCTAATGTTTTGTAGTTTTAGTAGAGACGGGGTTTCACCATGTTGACCAGGATGGTCTCTATCTCTTGACCTCGTGATCCACCCACCTCGGCCTCCCAAAGTGCTGGGATTACAGGCTTGAGCCACCGCGCCCGGCGAACTCACTAATTCTTAAAAATAAAAGTAGCAGATACATATTGAACCCCCAATAAGTACTAGTTAAAAAAACACTTAGTCTAAGTGTTCTGAAAAAACAAATAAGATTTATTTTTAGAGCATAGATTAGTTTGCAGACTTACTTTGAACATTTGCTTAAATACATTTGTATGTATTTGTTTATGTAAAACACTCTGGATATAAAATAAAATATTTGAGGTAGAAGTAGCATTAGTAATATTTAGAAGGCAAAATCTCAGTAATCCTCTCTAAAGTCCAGAACACAAAAATTCATGCTATGCATGCCCAGCTGTTTGTCAGATGAAGAGGTAATGTGGCACATAATCATTGTGACTGAACACATAGTGGGAAAGTTATTTTTCATCTTACATAGGCCAATGGGTCTTTAGCAGGTTTCCCGTTAAAGTGTTATACTGCTGAGTGTAGGCAATCAACTGAAATTGTAAATTCCATTATTTCAAAACTCTCCTTCCTAATGCTTTTGTGAAAAGCAGCTACATAGGATATTTTTTAAATGAATGTAGTTAAAAAGGCCATATGTTTATGTAATTTTCACCCAAGTTGCTATCTACTTGACATAAAATAAGTAGAGATATTTCAAATTTCCAGTTAATTTGATCCATTGAGACAACAAAACTATCTAATTGAGTCCTCTACCATACATAGAGTCAGTGCTGTTTTTAAATTGGTATCTGAATCATCTATAACTGTGCCAGACAAAATGAGGAAGAATAATATCCCCATTAACGGAATAAGCTCTATGTTTCAGTTTCAAATTGACAGACACAGCCCACACCTTAATCTCCTCTTCCTCCTGAGACCCTATTAAAGAGAGCTAATGGGATAATTTAAAAAAAAAAAAAAAAAAAGGAAAATCTACGGGGGGCATCAAAGGCCCAAAGGTTTCATTACATTTCTTTGCAACAGAAAGCCAATGGAAGGGTACTGACTGCGGAAGAACAAAGTAACCCCAGCCTTTGATCACCTATACAAGCAGGGCTGTACAACTCCAGGGGGCACATTTTACATTGTATTGTATCAGAATGGCATCTCCTAGAGTTACATTTTCTGGGTTGCCACGCACAAGAAGCCCTACCATAGTGCAGCAGCACTGTGTGAAGAGGCCCACAGCTCAGCAAAGAGCAGATCTGCCTAGCCAGCCCCAGAAAACTCAGAGACGTTAGAGCAGTGACAACAGATGGGATTGAAAGCAAAGTCTGAGAATAGGAATGAAGAGTCCCCCCTGTAAACATGCACAGCCCTGCATACAAAAAAAGAAAGTTCTTCTCAGAAGAAATTGAATCAATCTTCTGTAGCACCTAGATGAGCTAGTATGAGAGTTGGCCCCACAGCCAAGCCTTTCTCAGTGTGCTAATTTGGGGCACAGTTTCGTGTTTGCTCACTTAACCTCAAACATTTAGGTTAAAAAGCTTTGCCCTTGTACACACCAACCCCTGCCAGCATTTCTATTACTTTGTTCCTAAATAAGAATAGACAGCCACAAGTTACCAAACATTTTAACAAACCTGAAAAATGACAGAGACAAGATTAAAACACACACACAGAAAAACTGTTCTCAAGGAAACACAAAGATAATTCTGGGAACAAAATATAATTGAATACTCATTATAAGCATTTTTTTTTAGAAATATGGAAGTAATCACTAGAATTAAAACTGAAATGGATAATAGAAAAGATATGGAATCAACCTAAATGCCTGTAAACAAATGGCTGGATAAATAAAATGTGTTATACATACACAGTGGAATACTATTCAGCCATAAAAAGAATGAAATCATGTCAATTTCAGCAATATGTATGGAACTGGAGGCCCTTATCTTAAGTGAAACAACTCAGAAACAGACAAATGCCACATGTTCTCACTTATAAATGGGAGCTAAATAATATATACATATAGACATAGAGTGTGAAATGATAGCCATTGAAGACTCAATAGAGTGAAATATGGGAGAAGGTTGGACGATGAGAAATTACTTAGTGGGTAAAATGTACATTATTATGATGATGGATATACTGAAAGCCCAGGCTTCACCACTGCAGGGTATGGCCATGTAACAAAATTACACTTGTACCTCTTAAATGTATGCAAATATTTTAAAAGCTGAAATGGTCAAAAGCAGCATTTGCCTCTGGAAAGGAAGGGAGAATTCTCAGTGGGGTGGCACAAATTGAATTTTGAGAAATGTGTTTGCAGCAAGGCAGCGATTAAAAAATCAAAAGGAAAATCATATGCAAAAACCTAGAAGCATTTTGTTAACACTGTTAAGACTAAGAAGTATCTTCAGCCACTCAAAAAGCTTTCTTTCATCCAGGAGAAAGCTCTTTGTTACCTTATGAGGTCATTTGGTGGCATACTTAAAGGCAGAATTTTCCAGTAAAATTTCTAGTAGCATTTTCACATTGGTAAAACAGCTGCCCTGGAAGGTGTTGACCACCCTTTACAAGTAGCACTTAACAGGAAACTTAATGGCCATCTTCAGGGAAATTCTTCAAGGAATTCTTTATGGAGTAAATAGTTGGTCTAACTGACCCCACCAGAAATCTCTCCCAAATCCAGAAGTCTATGAGTATCCAAAAGAAAAACAAAAGGTAGTTTTGCTTATAAACAGACAGATCTAAGGGAACCCATCCTTTCAAGTTAACTGGTTTGTGTTGATACTGCTGTTGTGCTTTCTCATCAGAACAGGCCTAACTCCATAGGGACAGCCATGTACCACTCTTTGGCACTAAAGACACCCTTCCCACACTGAAAGACCACTCTA